CGCTCGGCTCAGATGGCGCTCGGCTCAGATGGCGCTCGGCTCAGATGTCTCCGTTCATGCCTTCACCTTTACAACTTGAATATCGCAGCGTGGTGGCATGACGTATTCATGTCATGAGTTTAGCATATCATTTATGTTCCCGGGCAAATTTTTTTTACCGGTATTATTGTGAAAGATATAATATGGCCCAGTCCTAGTTGGATGTCTCGATGATGGTTGGATGACATGTTGGTTCTGTTCCAGGAACCTTCGGTTTGGACTTCCTGCAGGCCGCAGCCTCGTCCTCACCGTCTGACACCAGCTGGCACCAGGCCAGCTCCACAGATAGCTCCTGGACCAATCAGGAGTCTCCGATGGATGAGTCGTCCTCCACCGTGCTGCTGGACAGCCTGAAGGTCAGCGTTGATGTCAGGTTCAGGGTTCACTTCCTGTCGCGTGGTGTTTTCGCTTGTGTGCTCGGTTTGACCGTCCCCTTTGTCCTCTACAGTCCATCTGGTCCCGGTCCATGATGCAGCCGGGCCCATCGGCGCTGGAGCAGCTCCTCCTGCAGCAGAAGCAGAAGCAGCAGCGAGGTCACGGCACCATGAACCCGCCTCACTGAAGCTCGGCCTGACGCGGCGCTTTGAGTCGAACCGGAGGTAAAAAAAACCCCCAGAACATCCAGAAGTTTGACCAGCTCCAATAAAACACCAACGGTGGATACTGGGGGGGCGACGGGACCCCCGACGAGGCTGAACCACCACCCACACCCCCCTCGGCTGTTCGAGGAGCGGGGGCGCCACTCCTGGATCGGAGGAGGCGGGATCTCTTGAACCGCGGGGCCGTGCTGGTGCCGGCTTCCCTTCAACCGGCGGAAACCTGAACTTTGAGGACCCCCCCTGGTTTTTGACAGACGCCTCATCAGAAAATCTTCATCTATGAAAAAAAACGGACCTCCCCGACCTGCTCGGTCCTGGTGGAGCGTCTGGAGGACGGTGTGGCTCTTGGATTCAGGGGGGAGGGCAGCTGGAGCGAGGGAGGGGGGGCTTCCTGTCATAACTGAGGAGGAGGATGACGAAGATGAAGGGTTTCAGCTCTATAAATATTTACATAAATATGTATTTCCATGGTTGGACAGTGAGGCAGCTCAGGAAGAACCTCCTGGGACCGGGGAGTCTGTCAGGTGGAACTCCGAGGACATCCTGTTGATCTTATCGTGTTCCTGTTAGCTTCAGCTATTTACAGAAAAAGCTCACGTGTCTTTTGTGATTTTCCTCGTAGCAGTTTTAGCTTCTCGCCCTGAGGCGAGTAAAGTCGGCCCGTTAGCTTCCTGCTCGAAAACGCCGCACCTCTTCTTCCTTTACGACAAAATAAAAGCTTTCATCTGTCTTTACAATAAAATAAAAGCATTCGTCCTCCTTTACGATAAACCTTCGGCTTTGTTACGATAAAAAAAAAACAACTTCCTTCTTTACGCAACGATGAAAGTCCTGAAGCTAAAACGTCTGCTCGTCCTGTTCTGGTCCGAAGCTGCTCTGCGGGATAGGCTCCGCCTCCATCTTACTGATAGCTTGTTTTTAATGAGCTGAAAGGAGCCAGAACTTCAGCTGATCTGTAGAAAGTAAAAACGTCTTGCTGTCACACGTTAGCCGGTGGTCTGGGTAAACAAAACAAATTCTTCTCTGGTCTGAAGGCGGAGCCAATGAGTTTCTTTAACTTCTGAAGGTTAATTACCCAGAATGCAGCTCTTCTTTACAAAACTGGCACTCAGCTTTGAAAATCTGGACCTGAATTAACTCAAATCCACAAAAGAAACCAAACTCGTTTCTGACTGAAACAGAGTTCGAACCGTTTGAGCTGGCCGTCGTCATGGCAACAGACGTTTCTGTTTCACTTGTCTGGAGCCATTTTGTGGCTCCGTGCGTCCCTTCTTTGTTTAATTTGAGAAAATAGGACGTTTTGGGTCGGTTTGGAATAAGCTGCATCTGAAGTTCTCAACGCCCGGGTCGGGATCCCAATGTGGGTCATTAAACACAAAGTGTGGGTCCTTGGATAATCCCCAGATTATCAACTTGGATTAAACGGATTGTTGCTGTGAGAGGCTCTCGGGTTTGTCACACTTTGTGGGTTTAAAGCGGTGGCAGGTGAACCGGCGGCCATTTTGTGGGTCTGGAGCGAAACGTTTTGAGAACCTGAACAGATCTTTCATGTGGGACGGCCCTGCGGTGACCTTTGACCTCGGGTCCTAAACTAACAGCACCCAGAAGTGTAAGGAACTGTGTAGAGGTTAAAAATAAAGATGTTTTGTGACTCTTCATCAAACGGTTAATAATGTAAATACTGACGTGTTTTTACCGACTGCAGCGGAACGGTTTCCATCTTTAAACACGTTAAATCTTTGGTTCTCCGTCTGAAGATTAAAAATAAAACGAGCGTTTTTCTGCTCTCTTCCTTTAGAGCCTGCATCAGTTGGTGGTTCTGGTGAGCTGAAGGTTTCTGGGTCGGTTCTAGTCTCAACTTGTTCCTTTTACACTTGTTTGTCTCAGAACCAATCAGGAGCCTCTTTATTTCTGCTTCCTGCTAACAGGAAGTGAGCTCATCGGCTCCGGAAGGAACTTCCTGTCTAGTTGGAGACGTTTCCTGTTTGTGCTTTTCATGTCGCGTTTACAAAAATTAACGTATTTAAATGAAAACAAGCTGGTTCTGTTGTCAGGACGGATCGGGCCACAAGCCAGGAGGCAAAGGTTCTGTTTGTTTTTATGACCGCAGCCGGTTCTGGAGACATTCCTCTGCGGCTCGGTCCTCCTGGGTCGGTTCTGATTGTGTTTGTCAGAAATGATGGAATCAGCCTTTAAATAAAACTTTGTTCTCTGAACTTCCCGTCTGTTTATTCAAATCAACTTTATTAAAAACTAAAACTTTCACAATATTTTCAAGTGGAAAAATTAAAAAGCAAAGCTGCTCTGATCGACACCGACCAGAACCGGGTCCATCTCGGTCCAGACGAAGAACTGCAGAACCCAATAGAAATCAAAGCTTCAGAATGTTCTGGGGCTGAAGAGCAGAACTCGTTCTCCGGGTTCACTTTGAAACAAACTGGTTCTGGTGGGTTTGGGTTTAAAGCTAAATCTCTAGTGGACTCGTCAGAAACGGAACTTTTTAATTTTGTAGATTTCTTCCACATCGTTTCTCTCTGACGGTTCAGGGTTTTCAGCGTGTTCTGACCTCTGACCCTGGTGAGTTCTCGTGTGGACCAGTAAGTTCTCTCTCCGTCTGAAGCGCCCCCCGCAGGTCTGGCAGCAGTAGGGTGTCTCCCCGGTGTGGGACCTGACATGGCGCCTCTGGGTGTGCAGGTCTTTAAAGCGCTTCTCGCAGTAGCTGCAGGCGTACGGTCTCTCCCGTGTGGATCTGGAGGTGGGCGCTCAGGTGGAAGCGCTTCTCGCACCATGTGCAGGAGTACGGCCTCTCGTCCGTGTGGGTTCTGATGTGTTGGATCAGCTTCTTCCTCTGTTTGAACTCTTTCCCACAGAAGCTGCAGCAGAAGAGTTTCTCCCGGACCTCACAGACGTTCGGACTAAAACTTCTGCTCGGGTCGCAGCGACTCTCCAGCACCAGGTCGCTTCTAAATCTGGGATGTATCTGATCCAGTTCCGAAGTTCGAACTGGCCCATGTTTGTGTTCTACCTGAAGCGGGCCTTCAGACACAACCGGGTTCTGAAACCAGTCTGGGTTTGATTCACGTTCAGACTCCTGCTTCAGAACCAAACGCTGCAACTCCAGACCGGTCCTGAGGTTCTGCTCCTCGTGGGTCTGTGGGTGGTTCCTCTGCAGAATCAGAACCTCCTCCTTCCAGGAACTTTGTGGTGGAAGTTCTGCAGGAACAAAAGAAGCTGAATGTTTACGACGTAAACAAACTGTTAACAAACAAACTTCAGTTTGGACTCATTTGTTGATGTTTGTTAATTTTCTTGTTTTAGATTTAAGTTTATAAACATTTATTTACTGTTTGCTCCAAACATCAAACAAAAATAAACTAAAATTTGGGTTCTGCCTGCGTGGAGCGAAACGGTTTTAACAGAACCTTAAGGTTCTGGTCTTCATCAGACGGGACAGACCTGCTCAGTGTTCTGTTCAGTTCTGGGACCGTCTGCAGACCACAGCACCAGGTTCTGATCCAGACCCTATAACTGTTCTAGGTTCCGGATGTTGGAACCAGAAGCCGAACTTCAGCTGATAAGAAACAACTGAAAGCCTCTGAGCTCACAAGCTAAAGGCCCGAGACCGTCAGCCGCTGGAAACTGGACCCGTTGGACTGAGGGGGACACGTCCTCTGACAGAACCCAGACCGGTCCAGTTCTTCAGTCCAAGTCGGAGCCAAAAGTTTGGCTTCAACTTGGTTCTGACTGGACGTCCAACCTCCAGAGGACAGAGACATCAGGTCCAACCTCCTTCATTAGGGCTGAGAGGTGGACGGTTCTGGACTGGCCCGATCCATCTCCACACTTCACACGTTCAGCTGCCCGCCTGGAGAACACCACAGAAGAAGGTCTGATGATCTCAGCAGAACGTTCTGATGGTTTTAGTAGATCGGTTCTGATCCATTTTGCTCCTGAGCACCGGGTGTTCTGTCACAGATCAAACCGTCTGCAGGTCCAGATGTGAACAGCTGGAGGTCCAAGCAGAACCGTGGTTCTGGAACATAGTTCTGATCCAACCAGAGTCCAACTGGAGGGACTGGTGGTCCTGGTCCAACAAGGATGTGTTTCCAGAACCAAGTCTGGATGGTTGAGGTTTTTAGCAACAGGTACTGGATCTACAGACACCGACCGAACCGAGCCCCCACAGAACCTGAGAGACGAGGATTTAAAGCAGCAGAAACCACGACCCAACAAGACCAGGTCTGCCTGGGAGCCCCACTTTGGGCTATGGGTCCCAAGGTCCAGTGGGTCCCAAGGTCCAACAGGGTTCCAAGGTCCAGCAGTGTCCCAAAGTCCAGTGGGTCCCAAGGTCCAGCAGTGTCCCAAAGTCCAGTGGGTCCCAAGGTCCAGCAGGGTCCCAAAGTCCAGTGGGTCCCAAGGTC